AAAATGGTCCTTATGGTTGTTCGGTTGGCTGATGAAGCTCATTTTCGTCGTGTGACAGGCATGTCACGTCGGCGAAGGATAAATTAACGCGCGCAAAATAATGCAAAGGTTTGATAGCGGATATCTGTTTCCTTTTTTTTTAATTGTTCTAGCTAGCCAAAAATAAACACAACGACTTTTTCAGTATTAATTTCCTAAAGAACAACGTAGGTTATGTTTTTCAGCTAATTGTTGTATGCGTGACTTAAACGCATCACGCGATTAAAATTATTGTCTTAGCTCTGAATTTATTTAAAACAACACTTAACAGCAGCTGTAAAAACCTTTACTTCTCTGTGTATTTATTCTCTGCTGCTTATGTGGATAAATGCGATCAGGCTCTGAAAGTGTAAAGGGACAATCAATATTCAGGTACTTAATGTAATAGCTTTGTAACTTTCTCCTTAACCCTTAGGAGTCAATTATTTTATCTTTCTTGCGGTAAAATAGTTGATTTAAAGACGGTGAGCATTTTTTTCTGTGTATCGCAAAATAACTTCATTTCCGATACATATGTCGATTCTGTTGATGAAGACGTGTTTGCTTTGTGCTCTAATGCAATATTTATTCTTCACTATTTATCACTGGAACGTATAGTTTGTTATTTGATCCGTCTTGTTTCTTTAGGTTCTGTGATATCACCGAAAAATGAACTCTACAATGAACTTTCTTAGTGGTTATACAACAGAGGAAACATAGCACTTCTGTAAAACTGATCAAAATTAATTTTCTCTCTATAAATATTACTACAATATTGCGTAAACTGCTGACGAGAATAAAAAACAATCAACTTGTTAAAATATCAAATGCTTTGAGAAACACATCAAGATTTAGTGGTAAGATCTTCGGACTTCGGAGTGGAAAAATCTGCATAGGAGTGTCCACTTTGAATTGTTGTTTTGCATTGAAGATATGACGACGAAGAAAAGGAAAAATTGGCGACTAGTTTGTAAAACAAAAAATTTGAAAGTCAAATGAAAACTGAGTCGGAGACAGGGAGTAGTCAGCTTGTGGATAATGCGGGTTCTAAAAATTACTAACTTTCAATTTTAATTTTTTTGTCGACGTAGGCATTTCTTTCCTCATCATCGATGAAATTAAAAAGAAATTAGAAAAAAAATGGAAAAAAGAAAATACTTTGTCCACGTGCTTTTTAGGACAGCTTCTATCGTTGTCCGTGCTTACTTATACAAATTCATCCACTTTAATCCCACGTTAATTCGATAGAGATAACCAGTGATCATCACCAAAACAAGCAAGGATCAACAATATGAATTTAGAGGAAGTTATCGGTTGTTTCTTGTGAATTGAGACTGGTAACAGCATTCCCATTGGTTGCAGTTTACGACATAGGCATACAGATTTTGACTTGACATTTTTGGAATTACTCAAATCCGTAATCATCATTTTCTACGTACCCTTTGGTGAAAATTATGTGAAATTCTTCGGTTATCGGGCATAAAGCCAAAGGGACATTTTATGCGCTAACAAATTCCTTCCTTACTTTTTTCCTTTTCGGATTTTGCTTTTTTCTATGAAAACTTTGATGCAATTAAGCAAAGTAAATTAATATTGAAGAGTATAAACCTTTTAATACATTCCCCCAAAGAAAAGGATCATGGTATTTCATACGCTTAAGTTTAACATCCTGAGATTTAACAAACACCATTATAAGGTTAATAATTTGAATGGAACTGTCCAATGAGTTCCATCGATTAACTATCCTATTGTAGAAAGTTTTTTGATTAGTGAAAGGACGCTTGACAGTAGGCACAGTCGTTTAGTAATTTGTTGTATAGCAAAATAAAGAAATAAAGAAATCAGAGAAGGCGATGGAGAAACAAATCGAAAATTTGGAAAACCTAATTGAAAGCGCGTAAGAGCGCAAAATACTACAAAACCAAAATGTCAAGCTCTGTTCACGTGTAGCTGTGGTTGTTAGTAAATACGTCCATGAGTGAGACATTCCATTGCTACCTTCTAATGTCATAGATTTTGTAATGTTGTCCGCTCAGATGGTTCTTATGTTTTTTCGGTTAGCTGGTAAAGTTTGTTTTCCCCGTGTAACCGGCATGTCACGTCGGCAAGGGATAAATTAATGCACAAAAATTAATGCAAAGGTTTGAAAGTGGAAATTTGTTTCCCTTTTTTTTATAAATTGTTCTACAATGTTGCGTGAACTCCTGACGAGAATCAAGAACAATCAAGTTGTTAAAATGTCCAAATGCTTAGAGAAACACATCAAGATTTTGTGGTGAGATCTTCGGACTTCAGAATGGAAAAATCAGCATGGGAGCGTCCACTTGTCAGAGCTTCAGGTTGTCACTCTCTTTGAATGTGATCCGAAACCAGCAATGACATCACGATGTCCCAATTACTTAGTTAAATTCAATGTGGAAAATGGTCGCTGACGGGTGATCTCATTCCGTATAGTGCAATAAGAGACGATTTCGAAGGAAATGTTCTCCGAGGAAACCGAATTGTTGTGCCACAGTCGTTGCGGAAAAAATTCTGAAATTAGCATACGAGGCCCATCAGGAAATCGTCAAGACTAAAAAGTTCTTCGAGCTTGTCTTTTTTTGGCCTGGTATGGATGATGCAACAGAGACTATGGTGAAGAATTATCAAGCGTGCGTTGTTAATCAGCTTCTTAATAAGTACACGCCGCTTCAACCAAACCTTTACCTCGTGGTCCTTGAGTAAAAGGTCCACTAAATCTCGTTGGTCCAATCGATGGAAAATCCATTTTGACTTATATCGATTATTATTCATCCTATCCGGATGATACGTGTTTTTCCGTACTATTCGCGAAGCAACGAAAAATTAAAGGAGAACTTTCGAGCAGCCATCAGCGAAGGTAAATCCTGGCAAATGGAGTCGCCTAAAAATTTATGCGCTACAGAGCAAATCGGCTTCTTACTAGTGGAAGACCACCTAGTATGCTTTTGTTCAATCGCGAACTTCGAACAAAAAAGCATCATCGGCACTCTATCTCGAACATTGGTCAAAATCCAATTTGTAGCAAACATATCACGATAGCAGGAAACATGCTGAACCGCATTATTTCAAAATTGGCGATCTCTTACTTTGTGCCAACAAGAAACCAGACAAACTAGATTTGAATTTCTCTACGGCCGAGATCGTAATTATTGAGACCAAAGCAAGAGACGCTTTTAGTTTAGTCAATGTGGACACGGGTACCACATTGAGACGCGATGCGAAGTTCCTCAAACATGCATCCAGTCAGCAAATTGGTAACGACATTGATGTAGACATTAGTGCTAAGACTGAGGAGTCTATTGACCATTCAGTGAAAAGAAACGACCCTATCAAAAGTACCAAGCCCTCTAGTAAGGATCCGGAATATTTCTCGGATTAGAAAGTTTTTGTCAGTTAGTAGTACTAAGGCGTTAGTACACGCCTTCGTCACATGCAGATTAGACAACTGTAACTCTCTGTTATATGGTCTTCCGAAACATTTAGTTCATAGATTGCAATTAGCCCAGAATTGTGCGGCACGGCTGATCTTATGTGGTCGTAAGCATGATCACGTTACTCCTTTACTGAGGGAACTGCACTGGCTTCCCGTGGAGCAGAGGATTATTTTTAAAATGTTATTTTTTACATTCAAAGCTTTAAATAATTTATGCCCAAGTTATATCAGTGACTTGTTAGAAACTTATAAGCCTACTAGGTCTTTACGATCATCGAGTAGGAACTTGTTAGTGATTCCTCGCTCCAAGTTGAAATCTTATGGCGATCGCGCCTTTTCTGTCTCTGCACCTAAGTGTGGAATGACATTCCTGAAACCATAAAATGTAGTGTAGATCTTAACGCTTTTAAGCGCAATCTTAAAACTTATCTTTTTAAGGGTTATTTTATGAATGTTTACGTTTGATTATTATTTTTATTTTTTACGTCAACCACTATTCGTCAAAGTTTAAAAATTTCTAGTCGAAGTTCCTTTCGAAAATGGCGCGTTTCGAGTTCGACACCATTGTTTTCAGCCCACGCTTGAATAACAATGGCTGTTAAAACTAAACAATAGTCTATTGAGAAAATTGAGAGGTTTTACGTAAAGTTTTTACTTCTTAACATGATGTAATTTTTTTCGAGGCTTGTTGTAATTTAACAGCGACTGTATTGTGGTTTTTAGATGATGAACACCAAAAAGCCCTACTGGGGAGTGTTGATAAATTTTATATTGTATTGTATTGTAATTTAAAAATTGACAGTTTTTACCAGTAGATTCTTCTGCGCTCCTCCTTCTTCTTGAGACTCTCTCCATTTCCTATGCCCTCAGCCAGTTGATGACTCGCGCTGGGTTGGCGCGAAAATTATTCCTGCTGTCGTTTTCTTTCTTTTCATTTTCTTTTAATGACGGCGGCTTTTAGAGTCCTGCAATTAGTCGTTACTTACACATACATAACGGGGGGTGATAAGCTCGCAATAGAGTGCAGAGTTTTGTTTTCGAGGTTTTGAAACTTTAGGAAGTGTGTAATTAACTTTAGTAAAAAGGAAAAAAGGAAGCAAAGAAGAAAGAGAGAGGGAAGAGGAAAATGAAAGAAAGTGAGAAAAAATAGAGAAAGGCAAGAAAAAAACTGCTCATCAGTTATTTTCTTTGGACTAGGAAAAGAAACCGAGTTCCTAACGTACCGGAAAATACCTAAAAGTAAAATGTGGCTCGAACAATCGACATTCAAGGTCACGTTTATGCATAAAAATCACGCATGACTGCATCATTAACAGTTACGAAACTGAAACTCGAAACTGAAAGCCACGCCGACGAACAGACTTTTAGAATCACGAGAGATGCTGGGTTTACCTTTTTTGGTCATAAGCTAAACCTTGGAGTGTAGGGAATCATCGGCCTGATGATTTTTTTCACGCAAGCAACTTTGTTTCTCAGCAACTTAAGAGTAAAGTAAATCCTGCATCCACGCCTAGAGATCTCATCTAAGATGACGTCGTCAGAAAACGAGACTATCTCTTTGGATCATATCCATCCAAAACCTGCAAATCTTGGAGAACAACTCTCCATTACGGGAAGCAGAGATCTATTGACAGATGCCAATCGTTCTTCTAGATCCTGCCGAAGAGTTATGGTCATTCTTGTTGCTATTGCAGTGGCAATTTCTACAATCATCGCGGCAGTGTTCATTGGAAAATACGTTTCGGAATACCTTAGTGATGATAACAGGAAAGGTAAGTATCAGATGTCACTCAATTTTCGCTATTTATTCAGAAGTCAACGATAAGAAACAACATATTTGAACAAAAGAGAGAATTTGGTCGAAATTTCAGCACATCGATGTGTCATTGTCGATGTCCTCAGTAGTAGAAAGTAATCATGTCATTTTCACGTAAAGCTAAAAGCTAGCGGACAAAATTAATCAATAGATATATGGACAAGACGATAAAGTAAGTATTCAGTTTGATCATGTAAATGGTAAGCATTAAAGAAGGAAACATGTTAGGGTAAGAGCGATAAGTTTTAAATATGCTTTGAAAATCAAAGAGGCAAGCGATCCGTTGACAGAACATGCACGAGCACATAAGTAGCTGTGAGGCTACTTAAGAGCATTCCAGACTTAAGACTTAAGACTTAAGAGCATTCCAGCGGAAAATTTCAATTGTATAACGTTATCTGCCTGTTTGAATTACTCAGTGGGTACCCAAGCGTGCGTTTCTTACAACAGTGATGTAGGCTCCTGAATACAACCAAGAGATACAAAATGGCCTATAATGAGCAGATAGCCATTGTTCTAGTCTTAACACATAGTTTCATCAGTTAGCTTTAGATTAGTAATAAATTAGTCCTTTTATGGAGCCTGGGAAAAAATCTACAACATTCCACGTATTTTTAAAGGGATCATGTACAGTTCAATTTTGGATCATTTGCGATCCGCATTAACTTTACTAAAACTGTTTTAAAACTTTTTCTTAAAATAATAAACAGCACTGCACGAAATGAAATACTGAAAACTTGTTTCATGCTCCTACGCGTCTTATCTGACAGCAGCAGGAGTTTATACAAGTAGGCAAATTAGCTTGCTCAGATACGCATGGTTAATAAGATGTCTATTTTCGACTTTTAAAGAGTGAAGCAAAAGTGTGACAAAAGTGTTGTACATGCGTGACATTTTTAAGACGTTACATATAAGAGTACGTATTTCATGATAAATAAGGTAAATAAGCTTGCTCAGATACGCACGGTTAATAAGATGACTATTTTCGACTTTTAATCAAAGAGTGAAGCAAAAGTGTGACAAAAGTGTTGTACATGCGTGACATTTTTAAAACGTTACAGATATGAGTACTTGTTTAATGATGGTGGTCACGGATTAAGAAATAAATCTACGAGCTGAGTTCTTGTAAGTTTTGCACACGAATTTCGGTTCTTGAGTCCATGCTGTTTTGATGTAGGAGGCAGAAATAGCAGCTCTAATTTCACTTTAATGGCGTCTTCAATTGTAGAGTGTCACGATATCGAATGGCAAGTTCACTCGAATAATTTGCTTTTCCTTATGTAGGCCAGAAAAGAGATTTTGTTTTGATATTTTGTTTTGATATTTTGTTTTCTTTAACTCTAAAGTTCTTCGGACAACAATCAGGCCAAAACGATGTCATACTTCCTCCCAGGGTTAAAGTTAAAATGAATGTTTTCACGCTCTTGTGGTTTTCCTCTATAAGCTACCTTTTTCTACATTACTTGTGTCCCCAGGCATCGACGAGTGCAGCACTGGAAGCTATGTGTGTGACAAAAATGCGAACTGTACTAACACTGACGACTCTTATATCTGCGCCTGTAAGGAAGGATACACTGGAGACGGGCATTCATGCCAAGGTATGATCATTGCATTTGACCAAGCAGATAGTAGAATGAAGTTTCCCTCAAACAAAAAAACTCTTTCCATTAAAACTTAGAAATTTGATGCTTTTCTCTCTGTCAAGTAACGTTTTGGCAATTCGTTTTTGTTCACAGATGTCAATGAGTGTAGCGATGGCAACTATGTTTGCCATGTTAATTCGAACTGTAACAACACAGATGGCTCTCATATTTGTACATGCAAGGAAGGATACACTGGAGATGGACAGTCATGTCAAGGTGAATAAGAGTGGCCTACACTATTTAAAACAAGCAGCTTTGCTCACAAACTATCGACCATGAAAATTAGCCCACATTTTAGAGGCCTGTTTTTACGCACTACTATCGTATTTCTGTTAAATTACTTTTTATACATCACTAACGCTGCTAGATATCGACGAATGCGACAAAGGAAGCCATGATTGTGACTTAAATGCGAATTGTACCAACACTAATGGCTCTCATAGCTGCACCTGTAAGGAAGGATACACTGGAAAAGGAGAGTCATGCCAAGGTAAAATTAGATTAGACTTTGAAAAAAAGCAGAATTACTGTTCATCACATATAATTGGCTTGCTATCTAACAAATTGGCTTAAATTTTTTGTTCTCTATTCAGTTGCCCTTTGAAAATAGATTGTGTTCACTGATATTGATGAATGCAATGATGATAGGCATGTATGTGATTCTAATGCTAACTGTACCAACACTAATGGTTCATATAATTGCATTTGTAAGGAAGCATACATTATAAATGAACAGTCTTGCCAATGTAGATAATCTATTATTTTGATTTTATGTCCTATTGCCAAAGTAATTTAAGAAGCGCCCCTCTCGACTAATCGATAAAGCGCCCTCTCTACAAACAAGTGCCCCCTCCCCCTCCCATTTTTAGCGGAAATTTTTAATAAGCGCTCAAGTGCTCCTTGAAAATGTCTATTATTTCAATTATTAAAGTAGACATAATATCGCCCGAGGAAGTAAATATGTATCTTGCGGAGTTTATTCGCTCTTTTCGACTTAAAGACAAAGAGGATAATGAACCCTCAGGCTTAACATGCCTTGTTTCAAGTATTGAGAGGTATTTTGTTATTTTTTGCCAGCTGTCACTATGTTGCAATATTTCTATCGAGAAGGGAAATTGATATGGCTTTTATCTTTCATGATCGATTTATAAACCATCGTCTGTTTGACAATTAAATGTTATAAAAGAGGAATTTACTCTCCTTATGTACATGTATACTATATAATAAACCTAATACATCACGTGTAGTCGGTCCGCACGGTATATAATTATAAACAATCGTTGCTTTATATCAAAAATCTTACTCGTTTGCTGCGTTCACTCCCTCGACTTCCGATACTACGATCTCGCGCGTGAATACCATAAAGACAGACTTTGCACGAATTATTCTATATCTATATCATTTTTACTACCAGATATCGACGAGTGCCTCAATAGAATCCATGCTTGTGACGTGAGTGCGAATTGTACCAACATTGACGGCTCCCACAAATGCACCTGTAAGGTAGGATACACTGGGGACGGACACTCATGCCAAGGTATAATCATCACATTAGACTTAGCAAATAGGAGAATGAAGCTTCCCACAAATAAAAAAAAACTCTTTCTTTCAAAACTCAGAAATTTGATGTTTGTCTCTGTCAAGTAACGTTTTGGCAATTCATTTTCGTTCTCAGATGTCAATGAGTGTAGCGATGGCAACCATGTTTGCGATGTCAATTCGAACTGTAACAACACAGATGGTTCTCACATTTGTACTTGCAAGGAAGGATACACTGGAGATGGACAGTCATGTGAAGGTGAATAAGAGTTGCCTACACTAATTAAAACAAGCAGCTTTGCACATAAATTATCGCCCATGGAAATTAGCCCATATTTTAGAGACCTGTTTTTACGCACCACTCTCGTATTTCCATTAGATTACTTTTTATACGTCACTTATGTAATAATAGTGATAATGATAATAATAATAATAATAATAATAATAATAATAATAATTGCCTTGTTATGCGACAAACTGGCTAAGATTTTTTTTTTGGCTAGTCAGTTATCCTTTGCAAATCTATTGTGTTCGCAGATATTGATGAATGCAATAGTCATGTTTGTGAAGCTAATGTTAATTGTACTAACACAAAAGGTTCATATAATTGCATCTGCTAAGAAGGATACATTATAAATGGACAGTCTTGCCAACGTAGATTAGAAAAGCGATACTTCATGTCGAGCAAAGCAGCTTTTCATAATAAGTATTGTCTTCGTAACTGAGGTTAGGATCAAGAAGCAACGTAATGATTTTCACGCCCCTGCCTTGTATTTCTATTAAGTTACGGGTTTCATTATATGCATGCATTCACAGTTTTCGAAGATTTAAAATATAATACGCACGGATATTTTTCGAGTTGCTTGGAATTTTTCTGAGCGCGAAAGGAACGAGGATAATTAAGAGCATTAAACAAGATTTCTTCTCGTATTGTATAATAAACCATCGAATATGGGATTTATCATTTAATCATTACCTGGAATATTTTTCTCGAATATGCGGCCACGCTCGGATAACCCCCGCACCCCACCCTTCTCTCCCTCACTTTTTTAAATAGTATAGATACAAGGAAAATCTGTTTCTGCTGCCACCCTTTTTTTTATAACTTTTCAACGTTCGACAACAGCGCAATTAGTACAGCAGAATAATTTTTCAATTTCAGATTTTTTAAAATCTTCATGTGCTTGCAGAGTTCCTTTATGTATTATCTTTTATTTTGATTTTGATGTCCCATTGCTGAGGTAACTTAAGAGGTGCCGCATTCGACTGATCGCCAAAGCGCCCATCCTACAAATAAGTTCCTCTTCCCCCTCCCCCTCCCAGTTTTTGCAGAAATTTTCGATAAGCGCTCAAGCGCTAACTGAAAATGTCTAATATTTCAACTATTGAAGTACAAACAATATCGCCTGAGGAACTAAACATGTATGTTGCGGAGTATATTCACTCTTTTCAACTTAAAGACAGAGAAGATTAGGAACCCTCAGGCTTAACATGCCTCGTTATCGAAAAAGGAAATTTATATAGTTTTTATCTTTCATGATCGATTTGTAAACCATTGTCTGTTTGACAATTATTTGTAATTAAAGAAGAATTTACTCTTCTTATGTACATGTAAACTATATAATAAACCTAATACATCACGTAAAGTCTGTCCGTACGGTATGTAAAGACTCGTTGCTTTATATCAAAAATCTTTCTCGTTTGCTGCGTTCACTCCCACTGTTGTGGTTCTTTTTTAAAAGAACAGGAGGCGTAGATTGTAAGACACACACACGTTTTATTCCGAAGCAAGAAGAACACTAAACTAAATCACACGTAAATAATGATCAATGCCTATATTTTATATGCGGTGACCTAGGTACTAATATGATGACCGCTGGCCGGAAACGGAGGCCAGCCAATATTATGACACTCTCGATTTCGGATACTACGAGCTCGTGCGTAAATACCATACAGACAGACTTTGCATGAAGTATTCTATATCTATATCATTTGTACTACCAGATATCGATGAGTGCCTCAGTGGCAGCCATGCTTGTAACGTGACTGCAAATTGTACCAACACTGACGGCTCTCACAACTGCACTTGTAAGGAAGGATACACTGGGGATGGACAGTCATGCCAAGGTATAATCACTGCATTAGACTTAGCAAATAGAAAAAAAAACTATTTCCTCAAAAACTTAGAAATCTGATGTTTGTTTCTGTCGAGCAACGTTTTGGCAATTCATTTTTGTTCTTAGATATCAATGAGTGTAGCGATGGCAACCATGTTTGCGATGTTAATTCAAACTGTAACAACACAGAGGGTTCTCATATTTGTACTTGCAAGGAAGGATACACTGGAGATGGACAGTCATGTCAAGGTGAATAAGAGTAGCCCACACTATTTAAAACAAGCAGCTTTGCACAGAAACAATTGCCCGTGGAAATTAGCCCTCCTTTTAAAGACCTGTTGTCACGCACCACTCTCGTATTTCTATTACCATATTTTTTGTATTATGCTTCTAGATATCGACGAATGCAGCAATGGAAGCCATGATTGTGACGTAAATGCGAATTGTACAAACACTAATGGCTCCCATAGCTGCACCTGTAAGGAAGGATACACTGGAAAAGGAGAGTCGTGCCAAGGTAAAATTAGATTAGACTTAAAAAAAAAGCAGAATAACTGTTCATCACTAATAATTGCCTTGTTATCCGACAAACTGGCTGAAGAGTTTTTTCTCTATTAAGTTACCCATTACAAATCTATTGTGTTAACAGATATTAATGAATGCAACGATGATGTTTTTGATGCTAATGCTAACTGTACCAACACTAATGGTTCTCATAATTGCATCTGTAAGTAAGGATGCATCAGAGATGGACAGTCTTGCCAATGTAGATTAGGACAGTGATACCTTATGTCGAGCAAAGTACCTTTCCATAACTAGTGTTGGCTTCGTAACTGGGCTAATGATCAAGAGGCAACGCAATGGTTTTCACGCCCCGACCTCGTATTTCTATTAAGTTACGTATATCATAATATGCATGGATACCCAATTTTCGCTGGTTTAAAATATAATACGTGCGGATATTTTACGATTTGCTTCAAGTGTTTCGGAGCCCAGAAGGAACGAGAATAAAAGAAGGCAATTAGCAAGATTTCTTCTCTTACCATCGAATAAGAGATATATCATTCCACTATTATTATTTTTCTCGAATATGCGGCCACGCTCGAATAACCACCTCCCTCACTTTTTAAATAGTATAGATACAAGGAAAATCTGTTTCTACTGCCACACTTTTTTTTTAACTGTTCAACCTTCAACAACAGTGCAATCAGTACAGCAAAATATTTTATTTTCAATACCAGACTTTTCTATCTTCATGTGCTTGCAGAGTTACTTTATGCATTATCTATTCTTTTGATATTTGCCCTATTGCTGAGGTAACTTAACTTAGTCGCCCTCTCGACTAATCGAAGAAGCGCCCTCCTGACAAATAAGTGCCTCTTCCCCCTCCCCCTCCTAGTTTTAGCCGAAATTTTCAATAGGCGCACAAGCGCTCTGAAAATTTCTATTATTTCAATTATTGAAGTACACACAATATCACCTAAGGAACTAAGCATGTATCTTTCGGAGTTTATTCTCTCTTTTCGACTTTAAGACAGAGAAGATTATGAAATCAGGCTTAACATGACTTGATATTTTTTGCTAGCTGTCAGTGTGTTGCATTATTGCTATCGAGAAGGGAAATTTGTATGATTTAGATCTTTCAAGATCGATTTATAAACCATTGACTTAAGTCTGTTTAACAATTTATTGTCACTTAAGAGGAATTTACTCTCCTTAAGTACGTGTAAGCTATATGATAAGCCTAATACATTATGTAAAGTCTGTCCGTGCGGTATGTAAACAATTGTTGCTTTATATCAAAAATCTTACTTGTTTGCTGCGTTCACTCGCTCGATTTCCGATACCGCGAGCTCGTGCGTAAATACCATACAGACAGACTTTGCATGAAGTATTCTATACCTATATCTTTTGTACTAATAGATATCGATGAGTGTCTGAATCGAAGCCATGCTTGTGACGTGAATGCGAATTGTACCAACACTGACGGCTCCTATAATTGCACTTGTAAGGAAGGATACACTGGGGACGGACAGTCATGCCAAGGTATATTAGATCAGACTGTGCATCATACTGGGCTACTTTTAACAATATCCAGGGCCTGCCCAAAATTTACAAACAAGGAAGGATAGAATGCGATTTACAAATTCAGACATGGCAGGTGGAGTGTAATTAATTATAGAACTACATTTACGTTATTGTTATTCTCATGGTCAAACCCATTCCTGCGAATGCGATACATTCAGTGGCTGACTGTATGTATTGACCTCTGTATTGTGTATTTTGTCGATCAGTATTGATCTGAGACACGAGAAGCGGCTGTGTTCACAGGCTACAAACAGTACTTAGATAAATAAATTAAGTTTGGTCGCTGAAATGTATTTATGTAGAAAATAAAAGCTGATATTGAGCCTGGTTCTGGAATAAAAAGTGCAAGAATTTCGGTTCAAGCTGTGTGAAACGTTTGACGTATATATTCCTTTATAAAAATACTGAGCTTAAAATATTCCGTCTTTCTTGCACACTGAACGCTTACTACATTGCTATATATATAACTCGGTTTTAACTTGTTCTTTGCTCGTTACAAATCTTTACCATATCTCTCAACTGAGGACGTTCTATTCTAGACATTGATGAGTGCAGTGAATTTCATGGCGTCAAAATGAACAACTGCCATCTTAATGCCTCTTGCGTTAATACTCAGGGCTCATACAACTGCTCTTGCAATCCTACCTATATTGGGGATGGGTCTATGTGTGAAGGTAAGTTTTTTTTTATATTCAGCTTCGTAACTTGATAGTGTACGTCTTGTTTAATGTTACCAAAGAGTGCGCAGAGTTTGTAATACAAATATTAGATAAGGAGTGGGAAAGTACAACAGGGTAATTTAGTGTTGTCAAGTGGGTTGATAACGTAAATTGGCCACCGTAAAGAGTTTTACAGCGAATGCTCGAAACGTCAGCTTTGAAACTCTTTACAGTGGCTAATTTGCATTTTTAACTCAGTTGATAAGGTAAGAAAAAAAGTTTTTGCAATTCTCATTTCACTTTGTAGCCGATCCTTGCTATTATTATAAAAACCTGAGTGAAGCCAATAGAAAGGTAAGTTACAGTACACTTTCCGGTTCAGAGTTGTGTGACTACCAACTAACTGAGGGATGGTATCGTTTTGTGGGAGCTGCAGGAACGAAAATGCCAACAACGCGTGTGCCAGCATTCAGGTGTGGTACAAACTGGTCAGGCTGGTTGGATGGTGCTCATCCTTCAGTAGAATATGGTGAAGTTTCCAGAACGGTCTGCTTTAGCGATCGTCATATAAGTTGCAAATATTCAATCAAAATTTCAGTTAAAAATTGTGGATCATTTTTCATCTACAAAATTTTTAAGACCCCTGGTTGTTTTTCCCGCTACTGCAGCACAGACTAAATCTGAGTCTAATAACTTCACAAAATGAGACAAGTCACAAATATATCCTTGTGAGCAATGTACTTTACTTACCGTAGTCCACTCCTTATTGTAATCGATAATACCATCGTTATAACCTAGTGCATATTGGAAAATGTTTACGTCGGTAGCGAACTGTTAAATTCTATAAATATTAAGAGTTCTAATGATAGTGGGTATCAAATATCATTTACATTATTTACGAAGACATCTTGCCTGAAAAAAGATAAGCGAAAATTGGCAAATCCACCTAATCTTTTTACATAACCTTGTGCATTATTTAATATCGTTTTACATTTTTTTTTCGTCAAGAGTTCTATCACTATTGGACGAATTATCTTATTGCAATGATGCGATGAACAAGGAGCACTTTCCTGAAAAAGAAAGCATACAAAAAAAGAACGGTTAGTTTGCAGACAAATGGAATCTTTCTATATCAACAAATTTGCTGTCATACGCGTGTAATTTGCGTTTCTGTGCCTCGAAGTAAACTGATTGAATAACTCGCCTTAAAGCTGTAACATTATTTACGAGGACTTATTGCCAACAGATTAAGTATTACAAAAGAAAACTGAAATAGAGAGGTCGAAGACAGACGGGTATGTGGAATATTCATTTCAAATGCCTCAGTCCAATAGCTTTAGAGATAATAGCTGAACAGGGAAATCCAGAAAGCCTTTGGTTATTGCTAGGTACTTACGTGTTCTTGAAAAAAATATTGATTGAAGTCTGTGACTTTTACCACCTTAAAAAAAATAAAGAATCAAGGACACGTGATAAAAAGCTTACTAGGATATTCCATTTTTTATTCACAGCACATTTTGTATTTGTGGTGTTCAAAAATGTTTCGGCTTAATTAAATTAACATTCCCTGATTAAAGCCATGTGTCAAAGGTCGCCTGCTATCCGTTGTCAATTTGCTATGCTATCACGATTACACTATGACTGCTATGAATTTGGAGCAAACGTTTAAATTAAAAATCATTGAAAAAAAAATTCATTTTTCATCCATGCTGATGGCTGTAACGTCCGAGCTCGAGGAGGGTTTGCTCAAATGTGGTGCTCAGACCCTTTCGAACCCATGGTCATCAGCGGATTAAGTTGTAATTTCGGTCCCAGACTCCCGTTTCCCCGTTCTTCGTTCCTCGTTTCCGTTTCTCGCTCCCCGTTCTCCGTTTCTCGTTTCCCGTTTCCCGTTCCCCGTTCCTCATTCTCCGTTCCTCATTCTCCGTTCCTCGTTCTCCATTCCTAGTTCTCCGTTCCTCGTTCTCAGTTCTTCGTTCTTCGTTCTCAGTTCCTCACTCTCCGTTGCCTGCTCTAAGTTTACCGTTCCTTGTTCCTCGTTCCTCGATCTTCGTTGCCCGTACTCTGTTCTTTGTTGAAGTAACATCCCACTACTGACGATACAACAGTGGTCTGTTCAAACAACGATTTCCGAAATATCATAGTGCCGTGAGGGTTCTTATCGGGAATATTTGAATTCTCAGATCTACCCTCGATCGAAAAAAGCTTCAGACTGGTTCATACCCGGCGGAGTTTACTGGCCAGCTGTAAGGAATCCTCTCAGAAATTAGGATACAGCAGAAGAAAAAAAAAAGATCAAAGTTACAAACCCCTCGGCAGACTTAAGGCAGATAATTCCCCGTCTTTTTGGATATTAGGAAAGTTGGAATAACTGAGATAAAAAGTGAAGGATGCAACGTGATTCACTGTTTCACAAGCAAAAATTTGCATTTCTGTTTTCATGTGTACGTTAGAATACCAGTAAATTAATAAAATTAAGTTTGGAAGAAAAAAAGAGCCGAACAGAATCACGAACCCGATGAAATATTTCAAGAAAGTCAGCCAGTCAGCCGTGCGCCCACATAATGTGTTCTTGATTTGGTTGACCCTGGCAAAAAGAAATTTTGTTTTTTGTCGTAAGTTCTGTTTTTATTTTTATTTTTATTTTTATTTTTTCTTATCTAAACCTTTGTAAAATTTAAGTCGATTTTAGCTTACCAATCGATTCGTACCCAGCTCGGACCTTTCACACTCAGGGTAATTTAGTATTATCTACTGAGTTGATAACGTAAATTGGCCACCGTAAAGGGTTAAGTTTAAAAGAGTTTCGAGTGATTTCTTAGAGTTTACTGAGCCACCAGCCTCTCGACCTTCAAAGAATGACACAGAATTGGAGCAAAAGCAAACATTACACAAATCTGCTGCGGATTTAAAAGTGTCACTTACTGTGGCATAGCAGGACTTGCTTGAACTAAACCCTAACCCTAAGCAAGATGGGTGATTTGTTGCTTCATTTGTTAAGTGTAAATAATTGGCAAAAGTAAATCACCCACAGACAATAATGTCAAAGATGTTTCCCCTAGGTCTCAATGTTGTCCATTAGGGAACAGATACATGGAAACATATATAGATTTGTTCGTCAACTATTCATAATTCAACTAAACTTAAACATTGACAGTTTTTGCTGGTAGATTCTTCTGCGCTACTCCTCCTTCTTCGGGATCTTTCAATATCCCACACCCTTAGTTGATAACTCGCGCTGGGTTGGCACGAAAGTTATTGGTGTTCTCGTTTTCTTTCTTTTTTTAACATATTGATGACTGCGACTTTTAAAGTCCTGAAGTTATATTTTCATAACGGGGAATGATAAGCCCACAATAAAGTACAGTGTTTTGTCCCGTTTCGAATTTTTTGAAGATTTAAGTAATGGGCATTAAAAGAAAGAAAAGAAGAAAGAGAGGGAAGAGGAAAAAGAAAGAAAACGAGGAAAAAAAGGGGAAAGACATGAAAAACTGCTAAGCAATTATTTTCTTTGGACAAGAAAAGAGACCGAATGACTAACGTACTGGAAGATACCTAAAAGTAACAAGTTGCTCGAACACCCGAGGTTCAAGGTCATGTTTATGTATAAAATATCACGCATGACTGCATCATCAACAGTTACGAAACTGAAACTCAAGCCTCCACGACGAACAGACTTTTAGAATTACGAGCGATGCTGGGTTTACCTTTTTTAATCATAAGCTAAAACTTCAACTGAAGGGAATCATCTGCCTGATGATTTTTTTCACGCCAGCATCATAGCCAGAAACTCCGAATTGCGCATGCGCAATAGACCGCAAGACTTGCAATTTTAACAATATTTTAAACTTGCTGAAGAATAGAAGGATCAGTATGGGATTTATATAAAACTAGTTTATAAAATTCGTATAATGGACGTAACCGCGCCAACCCAATGCCAATTCGAATGATACTCATTAGTACTTTCATGGCAGAATTACTTTGTTTTGGTAAAGCAAACACTCGTTGCGGTTTTTTCGGTTATTACTCGCAACGTTTTATTCCGAAGAAATGCCCTTTACAACACAAATAATGGCGCCTACCTTCGTAAATGTCACTTTCCACATCTTAACTCAGCCGAAATCCTCTACTAGTATCGATCCATCCCAATCAAATTGTTTAAGTTCAAAGATGTCATTTCTCCTTTACGGCAAATAAGACTTTTTAAACCTTAATATTGCGGCTTTTTAGCCTTCTTTCAGCAAATATGAACGCATCCACAAACAATGATCTTACTTCTATCGAGCGGAAAATAAAGTCTTGAACGCCTCTCTTCTTCGCACTAAATGCTGTGCAAAAACGATGGGTATTTTAATACCAACAGCTCAATGACAGATAAATGACCGGTAACTGCAGAGGGTTATTACGAGGCTGGAAGCTCGGTGCAGCATGTCTTTTGGAGGGAATTTCAGAATTCTGTTCTTTTGGGTTTGGTGCGGAAAGCTAAAAAAAAATCAAAACAAGAATAAAAAATGTCTGATCGCTACCCAGTCCGCGATCCCCTCGTTTATTTTAAAATAAGTGACAGAACAACGTGAAGGTGGTGATGAAGTTGTGTTCTGGCTGGTAGTTTAGAATGCCGCACTGATACAGTGGCACAAATTGAAAAAGGAAACGCCAAGCATTGCATACATTGACATATTAAATGGAATCATCCCTGGTCATGCGTTTAAGATCAGATGAGAGAGTAATCGAATTGAAGGCCGACTTTCAAATCGCTGTTCGGCTGCTTCAATCACAAATTAGACTCTGAACAGAAAAGGAAATTGAAAAAACAGAAAAGGGCATGAGGAAAAATTGTGTAGGCTGGCTATTTTGAAAAGTAAAATGATCTCGATTGAGAAGTAGGGAGCAGATCTGCGTGCAATTCAGTTCAAACTTGAAAAAGCAGAAAAAGAAATCTGTTACTGGAGAGCAAATCATGAAAATCTTGAGGAAGAAAATGAGAAACTGGTTGAAGAAATGTTTTCAGAGATTGAAAATGATTATGCCAAAGAGAAGGACAGAAGAAGAGAAATGAACAATGAAAATCAACTGACGAAGTACATTGACAGGTTACAGAATGAAAGCTTGGGGATTCACAGAGGAGCTGGAATTCCAGACCTCAAAACCAAACCGGCACAAACAGAAAATTAAAACAACTAAAGACTCGAGCACAGAAGGCACCTAATCTTATAGAAATATTTGACCTGGATTTACAACTTTGAAACTTTAAGTGCCCAACAGTACTAAAAGTTTTTCTATAGACTTCTCAACTACAAATCCTCCCAATCCACAGCAAGAACATGGTAGAGTTGCATTCTCAAAATCAAAATATGAAAAACTTCATCCTTATGATAAAAACAGAGTGGAGAGCATACTCTATTTAATGTAAATTTTCACATTTGCATCCAATGTTGAATGTACACTGACTGAGGTAGGTAAAATGTATGTAAAAACAAAGATGTATGTTCACTTACAAAGAAACGTGCCTCTAACGGATTTGAATGTACACTTACAAATATTTACGTACACAGCCAACAAAGTTAAATTTATAGAGTTGAATGTACACTTACAAAGATGTATGTACACTTCAAAAGTTTATGTGCCCTTTTAATACAGAGTTGAATGAACACTTGTAATAAAGTCGTACATACTAA